ACCCACCGCTGACCTGTGACCTTACTCCCAAGTCCACCCCTGTTCTTTAGCTGTTTCCTTCATCTGGCAACTCTGCGCATGCACACACTGGAAACAGGCTCCAGCTGTTCATCTGTCTCACTGCTGTCTGACTCTGACAACAACTGATAACTGGCATACGGCTCTGGCCCACTCTCTGCCTCCAATACAGAGCCCTCATCAGAGTCTTCCCCGGACTCCAGGACTGGCCCCAACCGCCTCACTAGCTGAATCTGCTGCCAGCTTCGCTGGCCACTGGTGGGCCACCACACTGTTCTCTAGAAAAACTTAGAGGGAAAGACCCAAGGAGATTGGATTTCCTGCACTGGAAACTGGTCTGGTTCACACCTGGCTGAGTTTCAACTCCTGCAAATGGCAAACTTAGAAGCTCTTCAACTTGAGCTGTGCTGCTAAGTTGAGAGAAAATTGCCTCAGCTGGCCAGGGTGCCAATGTTATAGCACCAATCTCTCTGCAGAGGTGTCCTCAGATCTGGAGCTGAAGGTAATCCATAATTTCCTCACTCTCATGAACTTGTAATGGTGTAAACAATGTGAGAAAATTACTGCTTGCTCCCAGGTGCTGCAGATCCTCTAGCAATAAAAGACTCCTCATGCCATCTCTGCACTAAAGAAGGAAGAAAATGGAATAGAGACCCACTTCTCAAGCATTGGAGGAACTTTGTTCAGAAGGCTGCGGTCATTGGCCTAACAAGTCCTGAAGTTAAAAAAACTGGGAGAAGAGAGAACAGTTTTCTGTGATAGAAAAATAGAGCTCAATATTAAAATCCACATAGATTGATGGCTACACGGCTGGCCACAATCAGCCCAGCTGCTGACATCATGGGAACAGGAAGTTCCACAGTAGCTTTCAAATGATTGCAATAGCCTTGTGTGGAAGAATGTAGGTGTGCCTATTGTGCAAATATTACTTGTTGATGGGCAGAAATATTGCTTTCCATTATACTTTGTCTTTTAGTCAGAACTGAAAGACTTGGGCTACTCTTAAAATTGAGGGAAGCTCCAAATATAGGTTCAACTGTTGTCTCTCAAGGGGGATATTTGGCCATCTTCTTGCTTGAAAGGATTCTACAGTGTACAGCAGAAGTCTCTCACCTTGGGAACTTGAAGACTTGTGGGCTTCAACTCCCAGAATTCCCCAGCTAGCAGAAAGTTGTCAAGGTTGGAGCCCCCTGGTGTACAGGATGTAATATTGTGGGATAGAGATGACTATATTCTGTTTTGTGTGCTGTGGATGAAGTCTTTCAAAAATTAGGCATTTTTTTCATTTGCCAACTTTTAATCCTAACTCTTTCAGATGAGGAGAAGTCTTCAAGGTGTTGTAGTTTGCACTGCAAACCATTCACCACCACCACCACCTACCCCCTCTCTGGGAAGAGACACAAATCCCTTGGTTTGGAGAAGTTCACTCTGCTTTTCTTCCTAGTAAAAACTATGAGAGGAAATAAACCCATTCCAAGAAAATGGAAAAATGAATGAACTATTTCTACCAAATTTATGTATTTGTAGTAATTGTGTTGTGGTTAATAGTTAGCTTGTATGCGCCAAGTTACTTTGTTCCTGATAAACTATGGGCCTAAGAAGTTAAAAAGATGAAAGTGATTGTAATTATCTTAATCAGATCCAGAACCAAGACTGAATCAATTATATTTTTGATTGAATCCTCTATTTCCTCTACATAGTTTGTGGTTTATACAAGAAAGAGTACATTGACAATTCTACATCTGATCCTACTATCCCAGCTAAAATCTTCCAGTGTTTCCCAATCACATAAAACTGGAATTTTGGGGGGCTATGATGGCAATATAATTTTAATGAGCTATTGGTTGTTTCACCCTAAATTCTTCCTAGTCAGCCATTATTAAACTTCAGTTAACACAATGTCTCTGCCATATGGAGATTTGTCTCATGTTTAAAGGAGTAGGTTTAGCTGTCCCAAGCCAATATGGTGTCATTGTGAATGGCACCCTCTGGGGTTGAAATATAAGCTGTCTGAATAACCTAAAATAGGTTCATTGACAAATGCGGGCCCGACAAATGTGCACCGACAAAACCGCAGCGACAAGATCGCGATGTCGAAAGCGCGCCCACTTAAGCGCGCTGACAAATGTGCGCCGACAAAACCGCAGCGACAAGATCGCGATGTCGAAAGCGCGCCCACTTAAGCGCGCTGACAAATGTGCGCCGACAAAACCGCAGCGACAAGATCGCGATGTCGAAAGCGCGCCCACTTAAGCGCGCTGACAAATGTGCGCCGACAAAACCGCAGCGACAAGATCGCGATGTCGAAAGCGCGCCCACTTAAGCGCGCTG